AATGACCTCATAAGATTACCTTGTTAGATTACCTCGTTGCATTACCTCGTAGCATTACCTCGTTGCATTACCTCATTAAAACAGGAGACAGAACTGTTGTTTTTCTTTACCTCTGGGTAATTTATTTATTGTTTTTTTTATTTAGTTATTGTGTTTTGATCACGAGTCTGAAACAATTGTGATTAACCTCAGGTGTGATGTGACCTCGGGTGTGATGTGACCTCGGGTGTGATGTGACCTCGGGTGTGATGTGACATCGGGTGTGATGTGACATCGGGTGTGATGCGACATCGGGTGTGATGCGACATCGGGTGTGTTGCGACATCGGGTGTGTTGCGACATCGGGTGTGTTGTGACATCGGGTGTGATGTGATCTCAAGTAGGGCTGGGCGGTATGACCACAAATGCATATCACGGTATTTTGTAAGACTTTGGCAGTTTCACGGTATATCACGGTATTTTTTCCGCGTTAAAGCATTAATTAATTACGCCGAAAAGAACCGGCCGGCCAGCGAGCGGTGAACAGCTGTTTGTGTGGCGTGTCTTCCGTTCCGTCACTTCCTGTTTCCTTCACCTACATTCCCCTGGGTCCTAAGTCCCTCCATGTACAGCTTCTTATCACCCTCTATGTACCAACGTACATTTATAACAAATACCACACATATTACGGTAATCAGCGTTGCATATGTGTCTAACCAAAATACCTTTTGTTGTTCAGTCTTTGTTCATCCTGCATTGCTCTGTTCTGTTCTTTAATGTAACTTTACTGTAGCGACGGAGCCTCTCCCAGCTGTTAGCAGACTGTTGTTAGCGAGCTTTACCCAGCATACAGTTCGGCGGTGTAATTTTATAAATGTACAATTATTAGTGTTACAAATTGTTTATGTGTCACAAACTGTTATGTCGTGGTGTTTTGTTATTAAAGAGCGTTAGTTGTTGTTATAAAGTTATGACCATGACTAGGGGTCCCTCTCAATACACTTAAGACAACTAGCTCCGACCGTAGCGCTCTCAGCCGCGAACAATATATTTTGCTGCCTGTTGAAGAGCGACAGAAGTTGTTTCGGCTGTGCACCGGTATGACGGTATATGAAAGATTCATATCATACGGGAAATTAAAACCGGTATACCGGTCGGTATACTGCCCAGCCCTAATCTCAGGTGTGATCAGCGTCCTAAATACACGAGGGCAAAGGGCAAAACTGCCCCTAAGAAATATAATGTTGACCCTGATATCACTAGGAGAGGGGCAAAAAATGCCCCCATAATTTCCTCTAATAATAATGATAATTTAATGAACTTGTCAAAAACATCGTAGCCTATATGACCCGGTCCAGTTGCCTTGACTGATGTTGCGTGTGCGTGAAGAACCGAACTTTCTAAAAAGATAAATAAATGGAGCGCTTCTTAATCAGACCTGTGACTGCGAGACTGCGGTCAACTCAGCAGACACTTACATGTTAGTGCACCTATATGCTGACATTCACGGAAAACGCATTCAAACGGCACAGATCGGGAGCGAGTAAGGACTTTGAAAGTTAGCGGAAAGATTAACGTGAGACAACATCCGGTTTATTCAGACGAACATCCGGTTTTCAGAATAAGATGCCAACAAAGTATGAATTATATTCACATTAAGTATAAAACATGCTACCTGCATCTCGTGAGTTAAAGGGAAAATACACCTAAATTGTGCGTAAAGTGTCTTCATTCTTTGATTTGAGGGTTGCTAATGAATAATACCTGACTGACAGTCAATTAAGATATTTTACTAAGTAAAAACTCTGAACTGAATTTCTACCTTCAAATGGCACATTTTTTAAATATTTAAGGTGCTACAAAAATATTTTTCACAATAATTCCATACAATGACTGATGTATATGTAATCAAGGCATCATTGACTTAATAATTGTTAATAGTTGTTTAAAACATTTAATAATAACAATAAATAACCACAAAGAAATAAGAATAAAATTGAATATGATTGTCTGATTTACGTTTGTTTTTTGTTCAAAAAATCTAAGAAAACACTTTGAATCTGTAGACTACTGCTAATAGTCTTATTATTGCCATTTGATGACAATTGCTCATATACTGTAAGCCTAAATAAGTATATTTATTATTTTGAACAAAGGTTAAATGTTATTTCACAAGTTTCAAAGAGTGCCCCCAATTTTTTTTAAATGCCCCTGGATTTCAGTCAGTGGGGGCAAAAAGTGCCCCCAAAAAAATATGTAAATTTCCTACCCTGGGTGTGATGTGACCTCAGGTGTGATGTGACCTCAAGTGTGATGTGATGTCAGTACCTCCATGATGCTGTACAGGTGCGATGACGCGTCCCCTGGTGTCCACTTTAGGCGAGTTCTGTCCGTACGTCCCGTCATCGCTGCTCATCAGGTGGACAGGGTTTCCCCGTCCATCCAGAACCGTGGTGTTCACCGTGGCGCCCACGTTCTCCTCCGACACCATGTTTCTGTCAGAGCGGGCCGCTGACACTGAGCGGGACAAAACCAGGACCAGGACCAACGAAGCAGGCAGACGGGTCCACCTTGGGGACAACATGTCGTCCTTTCAGTCTTGGTTACATCCAAACTACCAGGAGACAAAACAAAACTCCTTTAGACAACAACTTCCTGTCACACTGTCTCCTGTATGTCAAATGAAAATGTCTTAATGTATCTTTATCATCAAAATATGTTTGTTTTTAATGTCCTCAAAAGCATCTTAATGTCTCAGGTCTTCTAAATGTCTCGGTTTGTCCTCTTTAATGTCCCTGTGTTTCCTCTTAATGTCTCCGTATGTCCTCTTAATGTCAATGTTTGTCCTCTTAATGTCCCTGTATGTCCTCTTAATGTCTCAGGTCGTCTTAATGTCTCTGTATGTCCTCTTTATGTCTCAGGTCTTCTTAATGTCCCTGTGTGTCCTCTTAATGTCTCAGGTATTCTAAATGTCCCTGTATGTCCCCTTTATATCCTCTTTATGTCCCTGTATGTCCCCTTTATATCCTCTTTATGTCCCTGTATGTCCTCTTTATATCCTCTTTATGTCCCTGTATGTCCTCTTTATTTCCTATTTATGTCCTCTTAATGTTCCATCATGTCCTCACGCTGACTGAAGTCCTGGATCAGCCTCTTAAGGACTGACAGAGTTGTCCGTGTGTCTGTCTGATCATGGAGCATCATCACAGGCCAACATCTGGACCTTCACGCCGCCATGTCTCCGGACCTGAGACCCTGGAGGTTAAAGACAATCAGAGACGTTCAGAGGTTCATTAAATAAAAGCTCGTTTAACGTGCAGCCCCGTGACTCGGTGTTTAAACGCCGTTTGAAGCCGCTTTGTCTTACCGTCTGCAGGCGGACAGACAGGCAGCTTCCGAGCGACAGACCCCGCCTGTCTCCGCTCTCCTCCCACCTTCTGTCCGCTGTGGTCCCGGTGAATGTCCAGTGGTCCTCGGTGGGTCTACGGAGGTCGGATCCTGCAGCGGCTCCGTGTTTTATTCCGGTTTTGTTCCAGCTGGTGGTCTCTGTGGTGCGGAGGCTTGAGCCCCGTCTCGGTTCTCAGTTTGGGGCGCACTGCGCATGCGCAGAGCCAGGAGAGGGGAGGCGGCAGACAGGGCGCGTGAGCGACACCTTCGTGTTTTGGTACCTGAGATTTGATCAGCTGTCGCGAGACCTGACGAGAGACCCTCCTCCTGTCTGTCTGACAACCTGTCTGTGGTTTCTAAATATCAACAATCACAATATCAATGATTATCAGTCCAATAATCATCATTATAGAACCGTTAATAGACAGAGTGGAGATGATAATACTAATAATAACAATAATAATAATGATAATAATAATAACAATAAGAATAATAACGATAATAATAATAACGATAAAAATAACAATAACAATAATAATAAGAATACCAATAACGATAATAATAATAATAACGATAATAATAACGATAAAAACAACAATAACAATAATAACAATAACAATAATAATGATAATAATAATAATAAGAAGAATAATAACGATAATAATAACAATAATAATAATAATAACAACAATAATGATAATAATAATAATAATAATAACAATAATAACGATAACAATAACAACAATAATAATTACAATGATAATAATTACAATGATAATAACGATAAAAAATAAGAATAACAATAACAACAATAATGATAATAATAATAATAACAATAATAATAATAACGATAAAAATAACTAACAATAACAATGATAATAATAATAACAATCATAATGATAATAATAATAATGATAATAATAATAACGATAATAATAATAACGATAATAATAACATTAACAATAATAATAATAATAATAATGATGATGATAATAATAATAACGATAAAAATAACTAACAATAACAATAATGATAATAATAATAATAACGATAATAATAACAATAATAACGATAATAATAATAATAATAATGATGATAATAATAATAACAATAATAATAATGATGATAATAATAATAACAATAACAATAATGATGATAATAATAATAATAACGATAACAATAACAATAATGATAACAATAATGATGATAATAACAATAACAATAATGATAATAACGATAATAATAACGATAATAATAATGATAATAATAATAATAACAATAACAATAATAATGATAATATTTAGTGCTGGGCAAATTAACGCGTTAATTTTGCGTTAACGCATTCATTAATTAACGCCGACAATTATTTTATTTTATTTTTTAAATTTATTATAATTTATTTATTTTTTTTTTAATTGAAAGACAAGAGACAATACATATACATAACAACAAGAACAGTGGGATAAAAGCCAGCAAACATCCTATAGTCAGTTGTGTGTGTGTGTGTGTGTGTGTGTGTGTGTGTGTGTGTGTGTGTGTGTGTGTGTAGACACTTACATGTTTTTATATCTTTGAGATGACCAAGCTGAGTTTTAGTCCCTGGAAGTTTGTATGTTGAAGTGAGGACATTTTATTAAAGGTCTCTCCAGGTCTACAGACTGATGTGTGTTCTGGTCTCTCCAGGT